TTTTCACATTAGCAAAGCAGGATCATTCGTTTATCCGTAAACTACCCTTATATTGTATTTTCAAAATACTTCTTTTGTTGTAGTTTGTCGGCCACGATTTCTAAATTGCTCAATCTAAATAAAATCCTATTGCTTTATGAAAAAGTTGGCTGTATATGAGAGTATTTTCTGTTTGATTAGCTAAATAGAATGAGATCATTTACCTCTCGAAAATCAATCTTAAAATGTCTCGTGCAGGCATGCATGTAATTTAGATAGTAACTGATTATTGGTTTCAAGCACTTGGATGTCACACTATAAACCTCCGTTTGGTCAGCTTGATATTATCACTGAGTCTCATACAATGCATTATTCAATGCTCGGTGTACAAAGTTGTACTTGCTTTCAGAGTTACGGCAATGACATAACATCTGAGAAGAAAACACTTCCTACTGACTTTAGATCCCACTTTTTTTGGTAGTATATCGCATGTCATAAATCATACAATATGATTTAAACTACAAACTCATCCTTATTTTCAAGAAATTACGAATAGACAAAGTTACAGCGGTCAGAAAATTTAAAAATCCTGAAATGTATTTGATTTGTTGTAGTCATTTATACTGTTCTTTATAACGATTTCCGTGAATTCATACGATAGCAGATAAAAACCTCATAACGCTTTTACTTTCCAGTAATTCATTAGAACAAAAAAAATGTTTATCATTAATTGACAGGATAATATCACAAGAGTGTATTTGTATGCATTTAGAAGTCAACAAGATTACTATAAATAAGCTTAATAATGGTAGAACCTATATAGACAGTATAAGATATACTCATTATTAGTATCTTGTTTTATATTTCAGTTCATTAACATTAAAGAATTGGCATCAAGTGTTGAATAGTCAATCCAGTTAAACAGTTATTACATTTAGATTGATTAACTCTCATTAACATAAAATTAATCTGTCCAGAAAAGAAATGAAATATCAAAATGTTAAACTTGAAAATGTCTAGATAAATCAGCATCAACAATAAAATGTTCTGATTAATCAAAACAAATCAGTGATTTTCTGTCATTTTGAAACCATATGAGAAGCTGTTCATTAATTAAATATAATCACTGGCTATAAATAATAGCTACATTGTAAATGATTACATAGTTACTTATATTTTCATGTATTTCTCAATGTTCAATGAATGTCAAATGGTCACATCGTTTCTTTTCTGATTTATTAATAATTAAAATGATAACATTATTTTAATTGTTATTCAAATCTGTCAAAAGATTAGACAAGTATATATGTTTCATTGTTTATGATGATAAGATACTAAACAGATTTGTAAAGTGTTATATCCCATGGAGATTTATGAACGGTAAATTTTGAGGACTGTTTATGGACCAATATGACACGTCTATTTCCTGTTGTATAATTGTTAAGTAACTAAACTATTCATATTCCTGTCCCTCTTATTATAAGCTTTATTTTGACCTATAGACTATTATTACACGATTTACCATTCTTGAGTTATCCCTAGTCCATTAATTACTGTTCCCCTTATTCACAGCCACATTTAGCTAAATCTTGTAAAAATGTTATTTTCTATTTTGTGGCACGATGTGGCCTGTTTGTTTGGTATATAAACACAGTGTTTAAGAACAACGATTCATATTGCAGAGGCTGTTATTGCTGTTCTCGACTTAACTGGCTGGGCTAGGCAGAAAGCAGGACCGATAAGTACTCAAGACTGCTCATTCGGTTTTCTTGTATCATTGCTCTGATCGATAATTCACTCTTATCTGATTGGCGGGAATCATCACGTCATATATATTAACAGGGCACTCAGGTAATCGATATAACATAAAGTTTCTTCCATTTAAAGTTGAAATTGTTAAAAGATTACAATTGTCAGAAGGGGTTTTGTGGAGATTTTAGTAATTTTGTAGAGTTGAGATCATGAGTCAATTAAAGCTAGACCACCATGGAAAACCTGGAAGCACTGGACGGCCGTTTTGTCCCTTCTGATAATGATCATGTGCTCACTATTGACTGGCTCCACGAGGTATCTCCTGGAGTTCTAGTGAGAAGCAGTAACCATTGGAGTTCAACCAGGTCTGATGGGAGATATCAACTCACTGAAGACATTTGTGAATGATCGCCCAATTTCTTGGATTAGTTGAAGTTAGACACTAACACCGTTGGATGCCGTTTCAGTGGTCTAGAGGTTAAGCGCTCACGCGCGAGACTGGTTGGTCCTGGTTTTGAATCTCGCGAAGCGGAATCGTGGATGCGCACTGTTGAGGAGTCCCATAATAGGACGAAATGACCGTCTAGTGCTTCCAGGTTTTCCATGGTGGTCTAGCTTAAATTAACTCATGATCTCAACTCTATAAAATTACAACTGTGACTAAACTTTAAAAGTTTTAGTGTAGTAGGTAACTTTCCATAAACTTTAAAAAGTAAACTAATGTCGTCAGTCTTACTAAAATTTATTACATAATCAGTTTTACAATGATCTACTTTTATGACGGATATACCATTGAGTTTTAAAAATTACATCAAATTAATGCTTTACTTGAGATATGTAAAAATGAATTGGAGTATACATTAAGATATTTATAAGTGAACTAAGGATATAAATGTTGGGTTATGAAAATGTATTCTTGTCTGACCTTAATAGTTTTACAAACGGTTTGAAAGATGAAGTGATATTTCATCAATCATAGTCTGGATTTAAAATTATCTTCACTTGAATTACTTACTTACGCCTGTTACCCCTAGTGGAGGAGCATAGGCCACATACCAGCATTCTCCATCCAACTCTGTCCTGGGCAATCCTTTCCAGTTCTTCCCCGTTTTTATTCATCCTTTTCATATCTGCTTCTATTTCCCGACGTAATGTGTTCTTTGGCCTTCCTCTTTTCCGCTTCCCTTCCGGATTCCAAGTTAGGGCTTGCCTTCACTTGAATAGGCTTTATTAAATCAAATAGAAAGACAATATTATATATATATATATATATATATATATATATATATATATATATATATAGTAGCAAATCTTTGAGTTTGACTGTGAGTACACTGTTTTCCGACTACTGATTCAAATTCTAATCACCACCACTTGTAACCAAAGTTTATTCTTGTTATAGGAAGTGAAACAAACAGAGGTTGATAGTGAAAAAGTCACTTAACAGTGACACTAAATAAAAACTATATATAAGTTATTCGAATCTTTACAGAATCATATTTGAAAAATAAATATTTCTCTAAAAAATATACCCTACTGCCACCTAGGGTAATAACGATAGACTCCATTTCAAATAGAGTGATGTCACTGACCGTCCGGTTGAATCGCATTCGACCTAACTAAGATCGTGAATATCCGTGTATAATCAGTAAACTTGAAGTGACGGCTGAATGGAAACATCATTTACTAAATAAATAACTGAACCAAACTAAGTAGAATTATGTAGGTATCATTACCAAGTCTTGATTTGATAATTTTGAATAAATTGAGCATTGGGTAGATTGTTATAAATAAATAATATATTTGTAATATCCCAATTGGGATATTACAAATATATTATTTATTTATAAGTAGAATTATGTTCAAAATCTCAGTTTTCTAATCCATTTTCATACTTAAGAAATATTGAGACACATTAATCAATGATCTATTACTTCACAAGTTAGAAAATATTTAGATATCACTCAGAAATCGATAGTTTACGTGTAATTGTAAGAGTCTACTAAGTCTGACATTCCTAACAAAAATTCATCGCTGATATTATTAAAAATGGTACCCTAGAATATACCTACATGCACAATAACTAATTTTTTGACAACATTTAATCGAAATTATACGTGACAAGTGGATTGCGGAGTAAAATAGTACTTTGAACTGTATGAACTTCAAAATAAAAATAAAAAACGTTATCCATTTTTCTAAAAGGAGCATTATTTAAAGTGAGTATGAAAAAAGTATTAAAATATGAACTAATAAATGGATTTATGATACATTAAAGGTAACAATAATAACTTGTTTGATATGTTATATTTGATATAAAACCCATACAATTGGGAAGTTCCCACTTAGAACAGAACTCTTATAAAGTGTTTTATAACTTTCAACAGTTCTCTAGATAATGTCAGTTAGTGACGAAAATGATCAAATGCCTAAATAAGTTATCTTGACTGAATTTTTTCATTCAGTAAAAATATAAAATAAATTTTATCTCCCTCATACATACAATATAAATTGATAGGCAGCTTATCTTGAACCTTTTAACCAAATAATTTGATCGTAATATGTTCTCAGAAATCTCCAGTTAACATAGCTAGAAACATTACATTAGATCAGTAGTATAGTGAAAGTTGAGGATATAGGTTATTGATGACTTGTACTATTTATGATAACCAGGCAATTTGTCATACATTTTATCAGTAAAAAAAGATTTTTTCATTTTTATTAATAAAACTCATCAATAATTTCATTCATACCGAAAATTTGTCTTTTTTTTCTCAGAAGGAAGTTTTGTGGAGATTTTAGTAATTATATATGGTCGAGATCATGAGTCAATTGAAGCTAGACCACCATGAAAAACCTGGAAGCACTGAAGAGCCGTTTCGTCCTGTTGAGGGACTCCTCAGCAGTACTCGTCCACGATCCAGCCTCGTGAGATTCGAACCCTGGATCTGAGCTGGCAACTAACGGTGTTAATGTTTAACTTCAACCAATCCACGAAATTAAGAAACTCATCCACCATTGTCTTTAGTGAGTTGATACCTCACAACAGACCTGGTTGAACTCCATTGATTACTGCTTCTCACTAGAATTCCAGGAAATACTTCATGAAGCCAGTCACTTTTAATAATAAGCAAATGTAAAAAAAAGGACTTATGTACATAAAAATGTACATGTGAATTTTTATAAAAACACACGTGATCGATCACATTTATTTTATCTTTTACTTTTGATTGGTTATTCAAGTATCCTGTTATTATATTAATGAGTATCACAATTGAAAGTTTTCTATTCAATCTTAATTGATTTTTTATAATTTTACACATAAAAGAAATTACTCTTTGGTGTTATTATAATATATAAAAAATCATCGGAAAATCTCTTTTCTTATATTCAATCAGTAGTAGTAAAAATACATGCTCAATGTCTATTCATCATTTCATTATTGTTTAATCAATTATGTGATAGGTTATTCAATCGATTAATTTATTATTTATGTTGATTGGTTTGTCTGTAATCAATTAAAGAAGAAAACAAAAAAGAATGAATAAAATTTGTTTATAAATTTAAAGAAATGTATAATCATTGTCATTGGATTCCAATTGCAATGCCAGAGATGTATGGAGTTATATTTGGTGAACATGCGGGTCTCATACATGCTTGTTCTGTAAGTTATATTATAAATTATATTTTTTTAAAGTTTATGTATTTTATATTGCATATATTTCAGTAATATATAAAAATGATGATAGTTGATTGAATAGATATGATTATTAAACAGAATATGAATTTTATATAGTTAAGATCGTGAGTCAATTGAAGCTAAACCATCATAGAAAACCTGGAAGCATTGGACGACCGTCTCAGTGGTCTATCGGTTAAGTGCTATGGCGCGAGAGTGATAGGTCCTGGGTTCGAATCTCTCGAGGCAGGACCGTGGATACTCATTGCTGAGGAGTCCAACAGTAAGACAAAACGGCCGTCCAGTGCCTTGAGGTTTTTCATGGTGGTCTAGCTTCAATTGACTTATGATTTCAACTATATAAAATTACTAAAATCTCCACAAAACCCCTTTCTGAGAGGATCAATTCTTAAGATTCCTGATAATTATATTAATAGCACATTAAACGTCGTTAGATAAATTACTCTTTATTACTAACAATTATTCTTTTTAAAAGTATAAATGAGCAATCGAAATACAGAACAATATTGACTATAACTCTTTAATAATTGGTTTGTATAGTTTTATAAACACTTAAAGTATTCATCACTTCCTTTTTCATAGTATGAAGCTTATAGATTCCCATCATTCTTTACTGGGTTCAAAATAAAACTTAGATTCAAAAGTGTTGAATATCTGGATTATATTAGACAATAACTACAAACTGTAAAGTACCAATCAGTTATCTTATGAAGATTTACAGACGATTGGTAACAACTCGGCATTTATGTTTATTTAACTAATATCCATTCAATAGTCTAGTAGAAAAATTAATTTTAGCATTAAAGGCAAAACAAAACATATGAATAAATCACTTAGTAACAATAACACATTTTACTATACTTCAAAAAGTGTGATTTTTAATGACTTTAAATGGTAAAAACTATTATATATTCGTGATCATTATGAAGACAGAATGAAATATATTCTAATTTGAATTATCTTAATGGGTAGGGATCAAAGGAAGCTTGTTAACCTTTCAAGAACTAATGTTCTCTAATGATAAATCAAACGAACAATATTTAGAATAGGATTGGCCTGTTGAACCAATATGTATTTAATAAGGTGATTGTAAATGAAACAGAAACTGATTCATAGTTGAATTTCTATATCCAGTCTTTATGGCACTGATTTACTTCTTTGTTAAACTACTTATAAAAATCTACTTCAGTTTTTCGAGTAAATTGAAAATATCAGTATCAGAATTCCAGGGTAGATTTACATTTTTTAAGAGAAAATTTTTATATGAGTTTATCTACACAAAAATAATCAATTTGTTGTGATGATTCCAATCACAATAGTTGATAAGCGTTAGTTTACCATTTTGAAATCTACAATTTTCTCTTGCTTCCTCCCTTTCAGTATTTTTTGTTAGTCGAAGGTAAATATGAGAAGACTAAATGACTAGAAAAATAGTTATCACTTACTAACAAGGTTTATGTGCAATCTTCAATGATCATTTCTTTGACATTCATTCAAATAGCTGGGAGAGTTTTCACTCCGTTAATACCTCAATTATCCGTTGCTGGCCAGTAACAAATAGCAAGAAATCTAGGTCTAAAACTTCCGAAATACTGACTTCAATCACAAGAAATTAAAATAAGATGCTTCTTGATGTCAAGTCACTTAAATTCAATTTGATTAATAGAATTCAATGTGAGACTGTGGAGATTGTTGAGTTTTTGATTGAAATAATGAATTTACCAATGTCAGACTACCATTCAAAATCTAGAAGCACTGGATGGCCACTTTGCATTGTATTGTACTCTTCAATAGTATGCAACCACGATCTCGCACGCGGGATTTGAACTCACGACCTTCGGTCTCATACGTGAACATCCAACCTGTAGACCACTGAGTCGGAATCTAACCAAAAGTTTTGGTTTCGAATCCCGTATGAAGGATCGTGGATGCACGCTACTGGGGAGTCCAATACTAGGACAGAACGTCCATTCATTGCTTCCAAGTTTTCAATGGTGGTCTAGACACCATTACATCACTGAGAAGCTATGGATAAAAGTCATTTTCATTGCCGAATAATGTCAGATTTAAAAGTGAATAAATATAAGTGAATATAAAAGTGTCAATCTTTAGGACACCGTCATAATAATAAAATTGGCATAAATCCTAACAACTTACATAACTAACTAATCATGATAAGAAACGTTATCTTGAACTTTCCAAAATGAATGGTTGTTCACAGATAACATAATCCTAAAGAATGGTATTAATTAAAATTGTTTTTCCGTCTTGTCTCAGTGCAGCAAATGAGGTGTATCATAGTACAAATCTGAAAAGCCTCTTTTTCATATTTTACAAACCATCTTTAGTTTACAGATTAACATCTCGATCACTTAGCGTTTTTTTGGTGCCGTTCCTTAGCATTCAAATTAAATAAAGGCACTTTCAGAACTGAGCTCAATCACAGAAGTGATCGATAAGTAGCATTATTGTTGTTTTCTTTTAAAATTTGTGCTGACTCAATTCTGTTGATCAACTTGCCAAAGCTTTGCCTAGACCGGTTAACTCCACAAATAAAGGATTTTAATTTAAAATGCCAGCTGTCACTCCAATGTAGCATTACAAAATTTTGCATTACAAATAAACCAATTTTCTAAAGGACGTCAGAGTAACCTTACTGTTGAGTCACGACTGGTACAAAGTTTGTGTTTAGAAAACAGCCCACTTGTCAGTTTCTTTTCGTGAACTTTGTGCTTAAAAGCTACCTGGTTTGTTTATTATTTCAAATCTATAATTGTATTCAGTTGATGTTAACCTCATAAAAACAGCATAAGTTTTAACAAACTTTTCGACAATCGTTTCATAACATCTCACCCTTTCAAATAAAATCTGGTTTTAGTAAAGTATTTTTGAAACATAAAAAATGATGTATGCATACTTAACATTGCATTTTAAAAAAAGCCACTTGATAACAATTTTCTATTATTCCCCTATCTATATCAAACAATTATTTGGCATGATATTTATTTCATATGGTATTTTCTTCAATAAACCCCCTTATCATATGCTCACTAGTGACTGGCTCCAAAAGGTATTTTCTGCAGTTCTAGTGAGAAGCAGCGATCAGTGGAGTTCAACTAGTTCTGTTGGGAGATATCAACTCACTGAAGACATTGGGGAACGGTTACTCAATTTCGTGGATTGGTTAAAGTTAGACATTAACACCGTTGAATTCCGGCTCAGTGGTCTAGTGGTTAAGTGTTCACGTGCGAGATTGGTAGGTCCTGGGTTGGAATCTCGCTAGGTGGGATCGTGGATGAGCAACTATATATTAAAATTCATTGTATCTGTCAGTCATTTTTGTAGAAAGCAGATATTATTACAGGAATGATAGATTGTTTTATATTCTATTATGAATTTATCAGTACAGTTAATTATATGAAATGATACAGCTACGCAAAGAAGTATTATCCAAAACAGACTATGAAAAGTTTATATATGGCTTCTTGTCTAATTTTAATTAAACAAAATTGGAGGTACATTTAATCTTATATCTGAATGATAACATTTATAGACAAACTAATTTGGTTAAAATTTTCTACGGTATAGTGAAGAAAAACTATTCATGTTCATACGAATCTTCAGAATGTGGTTTTTGTAACAAACTGACCTAAAATGAACGAAATTTAAATATCTGTGATCAATGGATAGTGGTGTCATGATTTAGTGAAGAAGCTTAATAATAAAAATCTGAATAGAGTCTAAAGAAGAAAATGTATGTTTAATAGTGAAGATCTCTGAATTGTGACCCAATTAGCTGAGGATATCATGTTATCTCAGGAAGTCTTGGGTTCTATCCCACCTCATATTGTGGTGGCACACATTTAAGGAGTCTCATACTAGATTGAAATATTTACCCATTGCTTCCTACTCTTCAATGATTCGACATCTATCAATATTCAAGAAAACTACCTCCATAATATAAGAAGTCTTCATAAATTCTCTTGAATTTCTTTTAAACAAAAGTAAACAGTATGCTAATCTGTTGAAAAGATCAACTTCACTTCGGTTATTAGGTTAAAAATATCAGTAGAAATCACCTGTTATTGTGTTATCAAATATACTACCAGTACACAAAAGACTTTTTATACTACTATTCCCGTGCCACTTCAAATTCAGGCATGATTTGTTAATTGTTTATCGAAGTAGTATTCTATATTTAAAACCGAATTTACCAGAATGTTTAATGTAGATATCTCACGTGGACTTAATGAAGCTGCCTTCCTATGATTAGTTTTTCACCCATTTTTATTATTTACTAATTTCTATGGTTCTTATCTTTCGAAAGCTTTTTGGTGAGTGAAAGTTTAAGTATGCTCATCTAATATAGAATCTCCACTCACTTGTAGTTAATTGTTAGTTCAATAAACCTAAATCTTTTAACATTAAAGGTAATCAAGACACTGAAAACACTTAATAAAGTATATTCTACGAAAAAGAGTACATACATAATCTACAATGAATAAAATTCGTTAATCTATCAATGATATGAAAGAAAAGATGTAATCTAGCCATTTGTTAAGTTGACATCCTGATTTACATAATCTCAAACATTTTGAAGTAAATAAGAAAATACTTCTGACACAGATATAAGACAATTTTAAATCAGTCCATAAAATTTAACATTGAAATGTGATTACATAATTCATTGTTGGTTACAGAATTTATAAAAATATACGTCCGATCAATATAAAACTTTATATTTTCAACAGGCAATAAACACAGTAATTCATGTTCCGATTATTGATTTTATACTGTATAAATGATCAAATAATAATTAGTTCAGTAATCTTTTTTGTTTGAACAAAAAAAGAAGAAAATCTCACCTCATTATAAATTTTCTATTTTATTCGATGTCAATACAAAAAAAATAGAAAAAAAAATAGACAAGTATATCACTGCCTATTTATGGTAATGAAATTTTA